AACACAAAAGGATAATACAGGAATGCACAGATATCAACACACCATAGCACAATAAACAAAGACAAGCAACATGGGAAAGAGTTCCAGTGTGTACATCTGATCTGGGACCGCTGCAATCTTTCGACTGCGCCTCCAACTGACCCGATGTCCACATCAGAGGGGAGGTAAGCATTGGAGGTGGCGTTGGATCCGGGGTAAGGAGGGTGATGCGTCGGTGAGTGCTTATCAGTATCAGTATATGTATATGTGTGCGTGTCCATAGTTCAGCTGAGACAGTGTCCTTCGCCCTGCCAGGCTAAGTAAACAGTCTTCCAGCCAACCCAGGTGGCCTTGCATGGAATGGGAAGGAACAGACTAAACACAGTTGTTATCAGGGTGTTTTGTTCAGCTCCGGCCTTGCAGCTGGCGCCGAAGAGGTATCCGCATGAAGTGATGGTATTTTTTACTTTAGTGCGAACAGCTCATATGAATTTCAAAGCAGTTCTACAGTCCAACACTGGTCTCTCAATCTCCCGTTGGAGAGCCGCGAGCTTCGCCATACTTGCGTTCTGTGATGTTGTCATTTCTTGTGCTCAAGGAGCCAATTTCTGAGAACTCACGGCAGCGTGCCTCCCCGAGATGTCATCCAATTTTGCGCCCAGAGATGTTATTCCAGGCTAGCCCTTCCGAGATGTATCCAGTCTGCAGTCAGAGGTCTTATTCTGAGTATTCACAGCAGCCGTAGCCTCTCCAAGATCTTACCCGTGTTGACTCAATGAGCCCATTTTGAGAAACTCACGCCTCTCCCATCGTTCCAATCCCAGCGGGCAGCCTTGTGGGGGTTTGAACAGCCGGTTCCGCTTCCTTAATTCTTCGATAAGTCAGGGCCAAGCCAGCTCCGATCAGCCAGAACCCTGTTACCATGGTTCCGAATAGGTAGATATCTTCAGCACTCAGGCTCACCCGAGCCCAAACTTCTCGTTGAGAAAGGGGTGTCAATTGTATTTAGGGACCAGTTGATCCAATCCATAATTCCTCTTTTAGGTTTTAGAGAACAGACTGTGAGAGAATATTCCAGGGAAAATACAAAAAAACCCACGAGACTAGACAAGGACATAAGCAGGGAAGATAAGGGAGAGGAGAAAAAGTGCGTCCGCCTCCTCCGAGAGCCAAAGAAGGAAACTTATTGTCAGCAGATTAGAGATGTGACCCTCCCGTCTCTGGACAGCTGACAACAAGCCGGCTAAACGACAACAACATCCAGCTATAAGCTAACATTACGCCAGCTAAAGTTTGGCTCGAGTGTCCTAAAAATCACACTTTCCCTCTGACAAACAGCTTGATCAGATTCTCACATCGTATAAGGGTTTCTTCACTAAGCGTGCTGCGTTGCAGCTACACCCTCCAACTCACATTTCTTATGATATTTAAAGTGTGTTGTGATCTAGGACGCTGAATGTGGAACCGCTGAGCAAAAGGAAAAAAGAAAGCCCAGAGAGAAGATTCATGGATGTAGTAAAGGAAGACATGCAGAGGCTTGGTGTGACAGAGGAGGATGATAGAGATAGTGAGATGGAGGCAGATGATCTGCTCTGGTGACCCCTAAAGGGAGCAAGAAGAAGAAAAATAAGAAGAAATCTAAACAGTTTTGCCTAATCAAGAAGAAGAGAAGGGAGAATGTTGTGATCTCTCTTGTGTGAGTAGAAAAATCAACTGCTTCAGCCTCTAAATGTGGAATTTTTCAGTTTTGAAAATGGAAAATGTGCATTTCATGAACGTGGACATGAATGAGCAGACATTAGAGCGGTCTGATTAAAAAAGTTGTTTTCTAGGACGCAAAAAAAATGGAAGATTCACGTCCACAAAAACGAATCAATGTCTTACAAGTCGTGACTACTTCACAAACTCCTTTGAAACTGTTGTGTTTAGTATTGATCTTGTACTGACTCTTCATCCAACTTTTTCAATTCCAACCTTAAGTTTTTTTTCATCATGGGGGGACCCGCTGTAGACATTAATCAACAAGAAATGAAAACAACACAGGCGACATCTGCAACATGAAGCTCAAGCAGAGCTTTTTAAAGCACCAAGAGTGATCGAGGGGTGACAAAGCTGCTCCTGCTGCGTTCTACGAACACCAAAAGCAGCTGGAAACAACCTTTTCCCCCAAATTCACATCAGTAGAGATTTAGCCACAATCTGCAGCGACACAGAAACGGCAGATTAAAAGTGAGAGCTGATTCTCTTTTCTTGGACATCATAAGCCTTTAAATAGCAGCCTGCCTCATTCGGCGTCACACACACTCGGGGACTAAGTTGAGAACATGGCCACAGTCCAGGAATAATTAAAAGCAGGACAACAGACAGACTCCTGTGTCGACTGGACAGAAATCACCACAAAAATAACAGCAGGGAAGGGAGACAGACGGAGGCTGTGTTCACATGTGTCTCTGTGTTGTAACGCTCTCCCTGATCTCATGTTTGTTCAGCGAGTGTCAGCAGAAAGACGTTTGTGTTAGAAAAACAGAGGTCAGCTGATGTCAGCATTCAACCCATCAATTTGAATATCTGAATGTTCCTGAGCTTTTAATTAAATTTTACAGCATTTAACCAGAGATAGGTTTAGTCACACTGGCAGGGCAGCAGTAGGAATGATAATGACAAGGACAAAAACAGTGAAATACTGCAGTGGAATATAAAAGGAATGACAAAAGACAAAACACTATCTGAAATGTGTGGAAAGCAAGCAAAGGAAACAGGTACAAAAACACACTTTCATAACATCGCTGTCAGTTCGTATAAAGGCCTGTTTACATTGGATAAATATCACCAGGTGACCTCAAGCGATCTGTAATAACTGCAGCAGTTGTCTTTGCTCTTAATCTTGTGCAAATCTGCCATGTCTATAATCTTCATAATAAAAAAAACCCCATCAAAATAATGTTTATACATCTACTCCTGTGTGAGTAAATCTTTTTTAAATATGTTTTTCCCCCCCCATCCTTTTAAGGGCAGAGCATCACAGAAGGCTGATAGTGGAAATTATTAATGAGAGTTTTAATAGAATTCTGGGTGCAAATTCATGAGGCTCAGCATGGAGACCCATTACATTTCAGTCTCATCTGCAGATAATCCTCTGGATTTGCTCAGTAAATTTGGGTGAATCGCAGACTTCATTTATCCTGTGAGAAGGGGCGGGACCAGAGGGATGGCTAGTGGTGTAGTGTCCCCTCATACAATCTGACCATCCTCCCAAAACAACTACGAAAGGATGTATAATGATCAGAAAGAGGAGGCAAAGTAAATACAAAAAAGATGTAAGATGATCTTAAGGACATAAATGCCAAATGAACACAAATGGTGTTACAGTTAGCCCAAAGAGACAAGAACAACCACAATCAGATATAAATGACTTCAGAGAGCAGCAAACGACAAAACCACCACAGAAGGGAAGCAAAATGAAAAATAAAAGAAGAAAAACAAAGACACAATGTGACTATAAAGGAAAGGAAAATGTAGAGAAAAGGATACAAAATGATGCATATGAACACAAAATGACAATAAAGGATAGTGAATAGGTACACATGATTCTACAGAGGGATGGAAAAATATCCAGGGACACAAAACCACAGCAGAGAAAAGGGATACAAAATAATACCAGAGATACAAAATTAATATAAACAGATGCAAAAGGAATATGAGAATAAAAAATGCCCCCCAAAAATGCAATACAAATACAAAAGGATAGAAGATGACCTCAATGTTAAGCAAAATGCCCCCAAAACACAAAAGAAACCAGAGAGGTAAAAAACAAAGAAGCCCAATAAGAAGCAAAATCAAAGAGAAAGAGAAACGAAAGAAATGCAAAATGACTACAATGGAATGCAAAATGGCACAAGGAGGACTCAACAACAAAACAACAAAATAAAAGACAACTAAACAACATAACAACAACAGGTAGAAAGAGACCACTAAGTGACACAAAACAACTTTAACGTGCTAAAGATGAACACAATAAATAAATAAATTCCAAGAACCACAATAGGAAACAAAAGAATGTTAGAGAAGCAAAATGTCCCCGAAATAGATAAAAGAAACATAAAGCAAGACAGAGGAACCTGTTCTAAATGAATACAAAACAAAAAGCTCCAAAAACAAAGGGATGTGAAATGGCTCCAGAGATTTAAAAAATGACCACAAAGGGATCCAAAACAACCACAATGGGACACAAAATGACCACAACGAGACACACAAGACCATGAAATAACCATGTAGGAGTATGAAATATCTCAAGAGTCAGAAAATATCCTCAAGGGGATGCAAACAGACCTTGAAGAAAGGCAAGCTAAACCCACAGACACAGTGGGACGCAAAATAGTGCAAGAGAGACACCAAATTATCCAAAAGAGATACAAAGTGACTACAAAGAGAAGTTACATGCCCCAGAAGCACACAAAACAACAACAAATGAACAAAAAATTAGCACATCCCAAACAACCAAAATAGGATTTAAAATAGCCATAGGGAGGCAGGAAATGCCCACAAAAAGCTATAAAGGAGGCAAGAAAAACCATCAAAGATAAGCAGCCTACCACAAAACAGATGAGATGAAAATTAGCTTGAAGAGAAACTAAATAACCAATAAAAACACAAAAATATCACAGTGGGATGTAAAATGATCATAAACAGACATAAAATAACCACAGAGAGTTATACTACATGACTCAAAAACAAAAACATATGCAAAACAACCACAAAGCATGCATGGATCTTCCTAAGCGAGTGCCTCTGTGCAGAGATCTTCAAGCAGGTCTAATGCAAAGAAACAGCGAAAGAAGATAAGGTATGAGCTCCATTAAAAACACAGAGACTGTCAGTGTGAATGCAGCCTCAGAACTGGCAGCGTAAAGCCAAAGTCAGTCACTGATGAGTTAATGGAGAGTGAAAGGCGTGGGAATAATGTGGGAAAATGAGGAGCACACACGAACAAGGGTGTGACTGCAGCATCTTCTGCCGCCTACCTGCTCTTTGACAGAAGCCAGGAGGTTGGTGGTGGTGGTGCCGCTGGAGTCTGTAGGGTGGCTGTGACCACTCGGTCCCTCTCTGGCCACCATGGGCCCTTCCCCCTCTGTGTCACCCTCGTCCATCGCCTCTACCTGCCCGCTGTAGTCCAGAGCCGGCTGGCTGCTGAGGCGCCCTCTCTGACCCTGCAGGAGGACTACAAGTCGGTCAGGATGTGGACAAGGAGGAGGCACAATGACCAGAAAATCACTGTCACAGCCACTGAGCGTGTCACAGGGTGAGTTTACAGGGGTGCACCCTCTATAATAACCCTGCAGGGATTCACACTGGTTTTTATAAACCTCCCTAATATCCCTGCAGACACTCATACTGATTTTATAGTGACCTTATGGTATCACTACAACACCCCTATGGAGGCTCATGGTGTGCTTTTCTTTTTATGCACCTACAGTATCAGCCTCTGTAGGGATTCATAATGAGGCTCACTGATGAGATTAGAGTGCTTTCCCTTATATATGCTTTAATCTCCATGGAATTGTGAGGCATTTCAGCGGGGATTTAACCCTTCTGTGCCGCAGGTGACTGCAAATGTCTCCACAATTTACAGTTGCAGTAGTGTAAATGTTATGGATTGCATTTGAAGGTGTGCATGCAAGCTGCACGGGAGGCATTTAACAACATGTCACGTTCAGGATCCTTTTTTCCTTTTATTTATTTATTTATTTTTTACCCCCGTTTCTTTTCTGGGCGATAAGCGAAGAGCCTTGATCACATCTGCACACCAGCCTGACTGTCACACATCAATCACTCATCCACCATCCGGCAGCCAAGGACGAGGTCACACCGACTCACCGGACCGGAGACCGGGGAGCGCGGCTGTGTCAATCCGAGCCTGCCTCTCTTGTTTCGGGCACGCAGAGCTGCGCTGCCCGCCCTCCTGCCTGGCAAGCGGCTGTCAGTGAGGACTCACCGGCCAGATGTTGCTGTCAGAAGCAGGCCACAGCTGGCTTGATCCGTCCTGTTACACATCCATCCTCCACCTGCGGACGGCCGTGACAGCTACTACATTTCCCACGCGCCGACGTCAAAATAAACAAACAGTCCCCGTGCACGTCCTCGCGCTCCTCCTGCAATTATGTGTTTCCCCCCTCCTCTCCTCTTCTTTTTCTTTTTCACCTGCTGTGGGGTTTCGGTGCACTCATCCACCCCTGGCGTCCGCGCGGCACCCAGCCACCCACCCACCAATCAACCCGCCCAGCCACTATTACCGATCAGCGGCGTGACGTCACCATGCGGCTACGAATTGCTTTCCGATACGATAATCGATCAGCGGTCACCGATGCCCCACCGGTGCATGCGTTGCTGCAGCAGCTGCAGCCGTGCAGATGCGCGGAAGCTCCGTGCAAACACCCCGCTGGAGAGGAGGGATGCAGCCCGCGTGCGCGCGTGTGAGTGTGTTTTCTCCCCTACACAAACCTCCGTGGGCCTGAGTGGTCATTATGGGACTCCCAACGGTAAATTTAATAGTAAAGTTTATGAAGCACTTCAGGATAACTTATGGAAATTATTTTATGAAAGCCCCTTTACGCCAGGATAATAAAACAATTAAACTATTAAACCACTGAATTCAAATCAATACAGATGAAATATTAAGAGATTTTTTTTAATCCGAGTATTTTAATACACATATTTTGATGACATTTTGCCCCGTGTTAGCTGACTACAGTGGCAGTGGAAACCCACCAGTACTTGTCCCTAACAGCTAGCAGGATGGGGCATACAACTGATAGCTGCAATCAAGTTAACATATTTTGAAACTTACCATGAACTCCTGTGACTTCTAACACTTTTTCCAGACTTCTCCTGTCACACAGCCCTGGTAAGCTTGCTCTTCATTTCCGGTTTGCTGGTAGCAGGTTTTGCTTTTCTAGCTGAAATGTTTTAACTTTCAGACATCATGTTACAACTGTAGTGGAGCAAATTTACAATTGATTAGGAGATTTTGTGGTTGTATATCTGTTTAAACGCATATGCTATGTATGCTATAATCTTATCAGACTAAGATTTTGTGCTTTTATTTTATTTAATTATGTATATGCTTCTAAATTACACTAATGTAAGGTGACCTGGAGAGTTTTGAAGAGACTAAAAATAAAGAAAATATTGTTTTAAAGTTGTTTTTTTTTAAAGCTACTACAAATTTCATTTTATTTTAAAGCTTAAACATGAACACACCTTCACTCATCTTTAAATAGTTGTGTGTGTGTGAGAAAGCATCCACATTTGGTGTAGAAAGAAAAGGAGGAGCTTCGTTAGTAGATTCTCACGCTCAGAAAGAAAAGAAAAAGCAGAACACAGGTACATGCACATGCCCATTTATTTAAATGACAATTAAAGAGTCTGTGTGCGGTCTTAAACGTAAGCATGGTCTCTGTTTAACAGCTGCCTTCTTCCGTCTCCTCTGGTGCACCTTAAGTAAACTTGCAGATAGAAAGCAAGACGAGTGACAAGACTTCAGGAAGGAAGCTGCAAAGTTAAGCCACTAAAAGGTTTCCCACTACTGGTTTGTAAACCGATAACGCCACCGGCTCACACGGAGCCGAGGAAGACACATGACAAAACACTGCTTTTTTTAATAACTGTGAATACCTGAATATTTAACAGCTTGTTAAAAATAAACCCGCTCTTCAAAGCAAACCGTTTCAAAAGATGATACATTCGACGTTCCTTGTACTGCAAAGTAAAACACTGTGCCGGTAAAACATGTTGGAAACACCACACAGAGATAAATTATGCATCACTGATTAAATATATTAAAACCAGACAGCCGTGTTGAACATGAAACATCCCTTGTAAGGGTTTTAAATTCTTTCCAAACAAGAGTCCGTTACTGCTGCAGCATTTCTGACACGCAGGTGATGAATTTGTTGGATGTATTAGGAGAGACACGTCACCGCTATCCTTTTCATTTTAAGAGCAACACCCCCACCCCCAAACGAATGTCCCTGAAGGATTAGGATTTCTGCTGTCACGGTTACGCCTCAAAAGTTAAAACTATTAAATGACTCAAAGCTGAAATGTCCATCAAACACAGAAATCCATTACTTTTTTTCCCTGGGCATCCTGACAGTCAAACTAATGTTGCAACAAGAGGAGGAGATGGGAGCTTTTCAACTTTTATAGCATCAGTCTGCTCCTAAACTGAGCATTTCAGGTCCTGAAAGTCTCCTGCATTTAATTTGGGGAATTACATCAAACACAGGGACATTATCACCTTGAATACAATGCATTGGTAAGTTAAAATCTAAAGATTCAACACTGCCTCTCGACTGATGTCAGCATATTAAGTGGGAGGAAGAAGGTACACACGCACACACACACACACATATATATATATACACACAGACTTTTAAACTAAACATGGCTATGTGCCATTTAGTCTATTGGCATCAATGCATTTCAAACCGAAAAGTACATTTCTAGGCTATTTTATTATAACATTTTATACTTATATGATGCATATCTTAAATGTTACATGAACAAAAGTTTTCCTTGCCTTTAATGCTGCAGCAGTAATCGTTCCTCTCATCTGATCAGAATAAACTCTCCATCGCGTCATGGGGTGGAGGGCTCAGCATGACTGGGCTGTGCACTAACACTAACTTCTTCCTACTGATGTCTACGAAGTCTAAACACTGCATGAGCAGGGAAAAAACTGCTTGGTTGGCACGTTCAGAACTCACTTAAAAAAAGACGAAGGGGGGAAAAAAAAAATCCTCTCCTGCCTTAATCGTCACTGGGAATTACACTGGAATTGACTTTCAGCTTGTCGGCCTGCAGAAGGAAGCCGTTATCCCCAAAGTTGTCCAGGATGTTTTATCTGTTGTGTGGGATTTGGGTCTTTTAAGCTGGAGGAAAATGCACTGATTTAGCAGAGAGGGGCTTTAACCTGGAGAATAGAGTAAATTTAGATCTTTGATTGGGAAACTGCTGACATATCTGGAATGGACTCCAACATTTGGTTCTTTGTTATATTCTGCTCTGTTGAGCCTTGTTACTGAGGAAAAATGAGTCTTTATGAGTGCATGTTTCTGGATTTTCTAGCCTCAACAACGACAGCGTTGTGGGGCGAAGGGGTTTGCGAGAAAAGGCAACCTTTTGCAAAGCGGCAAGCTGAAAGAAAAAAAAAAAAATCACTTTTGGTCCAAACAAACTGTGGCGGCTGTGGCCATCAGCATTCGTTTTAGCACGTGGTCACAGCCGCAAGGCTGCTGTCTCAGCGAATGAGCGTATTTGCCCCCGCATCAGCAAACACACAAACCTGTAGCATCCCTTCAGACAGCAGGAGCATTTGGTCAAAAAGAATAAATATGTCACGTCACTGGAACCACAATTTATAAGCACAAACACTTGGTTACTTCACTAACTCGATCTTCATACAACCAGGGAGGGGAACTAACGGCAAATGAGGCGGAAACGACCAGCCTGTTAGTTTCCAGCCCTGCACACGACTCGTCTTTCAAATCGAGGAACGACAAAACAAATAAAAGACACCGTGAGCACCGACAGTTCTACTCAAACATAAAACCCGCCTGACTTCTTTTTACAAATTAAAACAAATAAATAGGGAGAGAGGACAGTACCTTTGCATAAACATGAGTACAAAAACATAACAGTCAGTGGATGTACAGTAAATGCGAGTGATTCCAAGAGGGGCAGAGCAGCGCCTTCGTGGGTTTGTGACACCATGAATCAGTGTTAAGACGCCCCCTCCCCCCCTCCGGACCAAGACCTGCGCTCACTACTCCAGATCGTCCACGTCCTCCGTCGCGACAGTGCTCGTCTGTTCTGAGGTCACACCTGAAAGACAAAAGAAACATGAAGAAGAGGAAACGTCTCTGAGGCCTATCAGGCCAAACTGTAAACGCTCTCTCCCACCAATGACATACGCGTTAATACCACTGTAATCTACTGTTACAACCAGCTTATTAGGGCTGGGTATCGTCACTGATTTCTAGAATCGATTCAATTCCGATTCACAAGGTCCCAAATCGATTCGATCCACGATTCGATTTAATTCGATTCGATTCGATTTAAATCTGGGAAATTTTGACAGTCAGAAATATAATTCAGATCAGAACATTTACATATTTTTGTATCCATAAAAAGGAAGCTGACACTCGCAAGACTTTATCCAAGGTGTGAGCATCACAGCAGATGCCTTTGTGTCAAAGTAGCTGAAGATAAAACACAGAAAAACATGAAGGTGATTTTCCTGGCCTGGGATTTTATAAAAATATTCTGCAGTACATCGAAAACGAAAGAAAACCATTAATTAATGAACATTACCTCTGACGTTACAGCGGTTTTATTAGAGACACGGCTAAGCATTTTGCATTTTGAATAATTTTAAAAAGTTTCAATTTGTTCAGTATTGAACAGCAGAAATGAGGTTTTCTTTTCGGAAGAATGTAAAAGGGAAAAAAACAGCGGCCGACAGCGCTGTAAGCAACAGTAGACTTGTGCATAACAAGCGAAACTGTTCGAGAGAGGGGGGGGGGGAGGGAGAGAGGGAGAGAGAGAGCTGCGCATCGCAATGGAAGCAAAACAGTAAAAGAATTCATGACGATGTTTATGTGAAGCGTTTGGATCTTCTTTTGCTGCTGATTCGGTCAATATTGTTTGGAGAGAGATCAAACTAACAGCTTTAGAATCAGCGCATAAAGGGCGTGAACACAAAGCGCGGACCCGGATCAGCGAGCTGTCGGCTTTCAGCCCTGACTGTGAGAAAGGCGACATCTAACTGATTCTGATCCGCGGGTCGCGCTGTGTGTTTAAGTCTATGTGCAGAATCCCTGTACCTGCTCTCATTTACTGTTTGGTGGTTCTTGAAATTTTGTGAGATGTCACCAGAGACTCTGGCATTTCGGACAAAATAAATTTATATTAAAAAATCGATTTAGGATTTTAATGAATCGATTTTACGTTATCCAAGCCAGAATCGATTTTAATCGATGAATCGATTATAAAAACCCACCCCTACAGCTTATTAGTATTAGTGTTACATCAAGTACTTCAATCGGACAGTTTATCCAAATAAATGTACACTGTATTGGAAAAAAGTATTGCTCAAGGGAATTTGAATGCCATCCCATTCTTAATCCATAGGGTTTGTTATGATGTTGGCCCAGCCTCTGCAGCTATAACAGCCTCAGCTCTTCTGGGAAGGTGTCTGTGTAGGCTCTTAGTGCTAGTCATTGTAATCTAAGGAGCTTGGAAAGAAAAGCAAGCTTCTTCGGTTAAAGAAGCTTCTCGAATGAGAGATGAAATGTCTTCAAGAAACTGAAAGAAATCTAGTTGCTTTTCTTTCCCAGCTCCTTAGATCTTCTGGGAAGGCTTTCCACAAGGT